ATATTTTTTTAGAATGTCTGACTGATAATAAAGGAACTGTGTTGATACTGATAGTGTTTTGCCCTTCCCCTTTTTTTACTGCATCTTCCCCATGACATCATGATTTTCCCTGCTCTCTTTTTGCTATTGGACTTTACTTTATGGGCTGTACAACCCTGTGACCATTACTCCCAGCATTTATTGTTCTATCCCCTTTCTTTCCTTTTTTTGACAATCTTATCCTGTACTACCTACACAGGATTTGTCAGCATACATTCCTTCCTTCATGTTCTTTCTCATTCTTTTTGCACAGCTATACTATGCATAGCCTACTTTTCTTTCACTATATAAACCCCTGTATTTTACCTTGTAAAAAAAACAAGAACTCCAATCCAGACTTCTTCTCTACTCTCAAGTTCACTACTCTGCTACTTGTGATCCAGTGTGGTCACAACACTTCCCACTTCTACCATTGTCAACTGCTGTCATCGTCACTTCCCACTTTTGAAGTCATTGTCATCCCTTTTGATTAGACTCCTTCTGAGCACTACAGTTTGTGCGTCAGAAGCCTGCTATCACTGAGAACCTCGTCACCTCGTCATCCTCGTCGTTCTCAAACCTACCTTGTGCTACCATTAGCAAGGTAGTGCTCGTCTATACTCGCCACAAAGCACCTATCTTCCTATAAATTCAACTATCCCTCCTCCTCAAAACACACACTCATACACCTCTGGGTTTTACTTTGAAGGATCTTTATACGTACCACCCCACGAACAACCAGACCACTCCACTGTTCTAGGAGGCAAAGCCCATAAACAAGTTCCGTGGAATCTGGGAGGATTGTGTGTTAGTTTGTTTTGTGTGTGGTTTTCTAACCACAGTTCTCATCATCGACAATTGGAGCCCACCGCGAGGGGTGGTTTCCTTCAAGTTAAATACCAACCATTTCATCGCCATCACTGTCTAATTTATCATCTTCACCTTCTATCTCACCCACCGCTTTATCTGTCCCATCCCTCTCTTCCAGTAACTCAATTTCTGTACCAGCTTCTACTCAGCAAGCTTCGCGTTTACCCCCTATATTTTTCACTATGAATCAACCTACTACTCTCTCAGTCATCACTATGCCAATTCCTGGCACTGTCTAAGAATACTTTCTACTTCGTATTCCTCTTCTTCGTTAATCAGGTCAGGTGGTGGTCGGATAAAGTTTGGGCCGTGAGTGTTGGTTTCCGTTGTCGATGACAATGACTTCAAAAGTGGGAAGTGACGATGACAGCAGTTGACAGTGGTAGAAGTGGGAAGTGTTGTGACCACA